GACTCCTCTTTTTATCGCTACTACCCCTAGACGCCATTGTAATTACACTGTAGTAACACAAAAATATTATATAAATATACAGTTTGTAATAACTGAAAAATTGCCAGAAATACAGAGAGACAAGGAGCGCACAAAAGCTGTAAACAGACTAAATCAGTGACGAGAAAATGGCGCCGGACACACTTCTCTGACTCAGCTGTTGAGCGCCGTATTAGCGGATCGCCATAAAGCGGAGCGCCTAAAAGCGGGGCCCTACTGTACATTGGATATTGCCTGTGAAGGGTAAGATGTTCTAAATCACACTTCACAAGAAATTTCATCATACTGAACAAACTGTTTTCAAACAGACAGGTTTTAACTGTGTTATAATGAAATTTCATTATACCAATATTCATCCTGTGAAACATTATTTCCATGAGAGCATATGATACTTTGGTAGAGAATGAGGAATATTTCTGTTTATCTGTCATTTGTTATTCCAAGAGTTTACTATATAAAAAATAATGATGTTGGATATTTTGCATAATCTATTATGGAACAATCTTTCCAGGCTTGCTTACATTTCCACAAAACTGATAATGTGTTATGGAATATCACTACCTTTCTTTTCATATTACCAATGTAATTTTTTGCTAATTACTGCATTAAAACAATATTCTGAACTTCCTTTATGCTTATTCAACATCATAGAATTTTGTAATGGTTTCTTGAAACTCACATTTTCATTTCTGAGTGATTTAGACATCTGGTAGGTTAGTTTCCCAACATGTAACTAGTACAGAAAATTAGTTATTTAAGACAAATAAACTTTCCAATATCTTACCATGATTATATTCACGGTAACAAATTCTTGACTCCTCGCTGGCTGTTTGGCAAAATAATATCATTTTAATATAATACAAATATCATTTTAAATAACTCATATATTGTGCTATATTATATGCTGTCTCAAAGAGGAATTTGCTAACCTGTAGTAAGAATTGTTGAAGCCTGGGCTAGTTCTTGGTACAGATGATAGTTTGGAAGTAAATATGTTACAGTTACTTCATCAGAGCCACAACGGATGTCTGCTTCCTCACATAGCAGACTAAAACATGACATGGCTACCAATACTGCCTCAATGTCTATGCTCCAAAGGTACATGAAGAAGACAACCTACTGAAACAAAAAACATTTTAACAAAACAATCTAATTTTCTAAATACATAACATAAAACCCAAATTTATCTTACTGCACTTTGTCAAATTACACTCAAGAAGTTTACTTCTGTCCTCCCTTATTGAACCATCTTAAGAGTACTTGGTGAAGAGTACAAGTTATGAAGCTCCTTACTATGCAGTTTTCTCCAGCCCCGTTACTTAAACCCTCTTTGATTCAATTTCCTTGGCTTCCTGTTCTCAAACACCGTCAATCTGTGTTCTCTTAATATCAGGGATTAAACTTTCACACATATTGGGGGAGGGGTGGCAAAAAATTTAACTTAATTTAATATTATAATATTTTTAACTGCATGGTAAGAACCATTTCATGATTTTAATCTGCTCGTGTTCCTAACGTCTCCGTGAATGCAATTCTGACTAGTAATGATTATACCCACATATTCAAACTTTGCCAAATGTCAAATGATTTAATAGTTATCTTTATATTATGATTTTAACCTGACATAAAGGTGGTGAATGCAGAATGAAAATTAAGTGTCATTAATATCAGAAATAACATTTTGAAAATTTACAAATCATAGTGAGAAATTACCTAGACATTATTAATGGCAAATACATTAATTTAAACTTTAATTTCTTAAAAAACAGGCATTCAGAAGTAAAAACAGCTACTTGCCTCTAGCTTTATATGTGCTTGCTTGCAAATAGGAATCTGACTCCCTACATTTGCATAGTCTTTGTGACGCAGGAGGAAAGCATTTCTGCACATAAGAATATCACGAAGCCACTTCAGGATGTCTGTATAATTCATTATTTGGTGTTGAATAAGTTTCTGGGAAATGGAGAATAACACTTGTGAACTGTAACACACATAAACAAAGCATTACAACAGAAGTACATGCTTTTCCTTAACATTAAATATATAAAACAGTACTTTAGGGAAGATGTTAATATTATATGTCTGAGAGAGGTCAGTAAGAAGTCTAGGCATTAACACAACCGACCCTCTAAACTTCAGTGTCATCAATCATCCACTTATCTTATGACAGCAAACACTCCCAAGCTACAAGCAGTTACAAAGAATGTGTTTTAACAGATCCGAGTAGATGTACTGAAAGTATAACAATATTTTTGAAGAATTCATCTCTCTGTAATTACATATGTATGTTGTCTCTAGTCATCAGCCTGTCACAAACAAGGCCTCTATCTGTACACAGGACAGCACTACACAAAAAGACAAACATACATGCCTTGAGTGGGATTCGAACCCACGGTCCCAGTGTCTGAGCACACAAGGCCCACGCCTCAGACCATACAGCCACTGTGACCGACAAAATAGCATAATATTACTTTCAATAAAATATTAAAACAGATACTTCACTTAACATCCCAAAAAGTATTGATGGGTGCTTCAGGGTTCCAAACTTCAATCTTCTCCGGGTTGTGAAGCACTAAAAGAGCTTCCATGGCTTCCTGTGCAACATCAGGCATTGTGGGTTGATGAACTAAACTTACCAACCCATTAATCAATTCCAGTGTGGAGCTCTGAATCTCATGGCCAGCCTTGCCTTGGTTCTTAAAACAAAATCAATACTTAGAGTAGGTATATCTAAAAAAAACAATCTTTTAATTCATACTTTCTTGTCCTTTGATTCTTAAGTAATTTAATTCATGATTATTCATATGTGATACTAACACCAAACTTACTTTATTGACATAAAAAATGACCATACATCAGTAAAATAATGGACTTCCTATCCTGATTAGGGCCAAAGTCAAGTTTGGCATTTATCTCTTACTTACCATAACCAACAAGCTTGTCAAATTTCATTACAATCAGAGATGGTCACAAAAATTTGCTCCCAAATCATGTCAAACTGATGTGGAGTAACCCACAAAAGCATACACAATAAGAAAGTGTCACTTCATAGAACTGTTTCACATCCCTCCTCTACCCAAACAGACTTGAAAGACACTTCCATTTTGATATTGTACATGAGTATCACATATACTTACATTAAGCATTAACATTGGGTCTGCATGGATGAGACGAACCATCAAAAGTAACAGGTTTTTAATAACTGGGACTTCATCACCTTTCTCTTTGAGCTTTGAAGCAGACTCTTTACCTTTCAATGTAAATGACTGCAAATATTTAACACTTTATTAGACATATAAAGGATACGCAGTGTAAATATAAAAACTGAAAGCAAAGAAACATGTTTCATTTTTAAATCAGACTACATTACTTCTTCTAAAATATGCATCAGTAATTGATATTAACTAAGTTGAGCCTTTTAACATCACTCTGATGCTCTGAAATAGCATACATACAAAAAATTACATATTACCGGTAATTTTCTTCCCTTACTGCACATGTTAAATTTAATTTTCAAAAAAATAAGCAATAAAACATAAATATTGGATCAGGCAATTCACTAAGAATTCAATTACCGGAATCATACGCAGTGCAGTATGAGTAATGCAGCCTTGGGATACCTTGTTTAATGTATCAGTGAACATCGACCTGAGATCACTGGATTTGTTGTAAACCAAATCAATCTGAGGCCACCATGGTAATCGAGGTTGTGTTATAATTCTGTAAATGGAATAACAAACAGAATATTTATAACATTTACTTCAGAACTGCTATGTGGTAACAAGTTCAAATCAAAAATAAGGTGTTATTTTAGAATTTCCCTAACAAAAATACTGAAGATACATATGAGATGGATGTAAGGTATAAAAATATTGTTGCAGATCTTTGTTGTGAAAACGCATGCCCAGCCAGTGCCCTCTCCCCCTTCTGCTGAATGAAATGCACATGCATGAGATGAGATGTTCTCTCACACTAGGAGCCCTGAATACCTTACATGTGAGAAATGTCTGAAAATCAGTGGAATCTTGCACAACTTTCTCTGACTGTCTCTGTATACAGGTAGGCCCCGATTTACGCTGGGGTTACATTCCACCTCCTCAGGGTTGTTAGCTGAAGCAGCGTAAATCAAGGAAGAATTATAATGTATTGTACTGGCGGACGAGAAGAAAGCAACTACGCCGACACTAGCGACGGCTGGGTACCCACTTCCTGTGCTGCATTTATGGTTGCATTTTCAAATTTTTCTTGTTTTATTTTTTTTCATTATTATTTTAAAAGGGCGTTAATGTGAAACAGCGTAAAATGAAGCATCATAAAGTGGGGCCTACCTGTATATATAACACCAAGACAGTTGAACACAGGCTCAGTTCAGTGTCAAGTTCTGAGCAAGTAGGTGAGTCTTGTGCTTACTGTCAGCTGGTGGATAGAGACAAAGTTTGAAGCAGTGCAGAGTAAACTTGAATACACCAGTGGTTAGACTGAGTACAAGTGCACATCTATAAACAAGACTGAGATTTATAAACTGACAGAAATTAATCAAGGAAATAATAAATTGTAATACGTGTGTAGAATAAACCTATCTCTCATTCTGAAGAACCCATAGTATAATCATTGATCTCATTACAATATAAATAACCCTGAATTATCCAATCAATTTCCTCTGATAAAAAATAGTTACCTGATATGAGAAAATATGCTTTGCTAATGCCATCACTACCTGTCACTGTGAATAACTGTTCAGCTAAACAAAGAATATAAAATCATGAAAAAGGATGTCTTACTAATGGAAACTTAGATGAATGAATGCCAACCACAACACCAATTAACCTTATAGAGATGATATTTAAACTACAATTGTATTTATGCACTTACAGTTTAAAATTGAAACTTACAACCATATGCCTATGGAAGTGCTCTCAAGCACTAGGAATAACTTTTACATAAGCAGCTGAAGGTGCATGAATTCAATCAATGCTTATGCCTTACAGTTTCTTATATTTGGGATAAAACTTTAAAAAAATAAATACAAAAATATAAATAATTATGTAATATATTAATGGACACTTATCTGTAAAATGTAGTGCTTTTGAACTTGCAGTTTTGGAGATGGTTAAAACATACAGTGCCCATTTTAAACAAAAATATTCTTCCAGCTATCTCCCAAACAAGACTTGCAACACCTGATTTAAAATACCTGAATATGGCTGTAAGCATTAAACCTAATATTGAAAGCTTCTCAAATAAAACCAGTGTCAAATATTCCAGAGTCTTTTAAAGAAAATTACTGAGTAACATATGAATGAGTTTGCAATAGCATGCTAATAGCTTTATGAACAAATGTGGGCTGGTGATTGTAATAGAATCCACAGAATGCCTGATAATTCTTGCTTAATGGCACAGTTTGGTCCTCACTATGTTAGGTTATCTGCTTGTAAAATACACAGCTCTGTGCAGAAATCAGGGTAAGGTTGACAGATTTATATGACAAATGTTACTATAAATAAATACCAATCTATAACTGTGTGCACAGTAGTGCAGCTCTCACACTAATAATTCCAAGTAACTATGTAAGTGTATGACAAGATAGCAAAAATATCATACCTGTACAAAGAACTGATGAGGACATAATGGTATAGAAATGCAGAGTTGGGGTTGAGACACACTTTGAGTGCTTCGTTGTTATGAGGTTTGATGCGGAAACATGACACAAAGCAGTCAATCATTAAATCAATGTCATGTACAACGTAATTTTGTCCACGGGAAAATGGTTTACTTGGACTAAAGAGCAGATTCTGTGAATCAAAGAAATCATAGTACAGACTCCTTTCATATTAGTAGTTTCACAAGTTATATTGCACACAAAATCGATTACACTTCATAGTGTATGTTTAAGCCACATGTAATATGTATACGCCCAAATTTCCAAACTAAAACAAATTTTGCTTACCACGTGGCTTATACTTTCATACCCTAGTTTACATTTTTTCTTTCACCAAGTTTTCAGATGTAAAATTTAAAAGTCTGATGCATGCTGGAATGAATATATACAAATATTTCTTAGCAATTATAGATGAGGAAGAAGAGTGGTTTGATGGTCATTCATAAATATGATTTATATTAGAAAGTCCTGTTTCTTGAACATTATATAATATTTATATTTCTGCAGTATAAAGGATACATGGTATTTAACAAAATGCCCACTGAAATAATCAAAACTGAATTTTACTATCATTAACATGAACAGAATTGCAATTGATTGTTTTTCTGGATTTGGCATAGTTTCATAGTTTTATGCTGCAAATAAACAGTTACCTACCTTCAGTTCATTAATAATGTTCTGTACCAAGGTGAAAGCTACATTGTTGGAATCCAGGATGTTGATGTAGGTAGAAGCTTTACACAGTTTGACACAGGTAACAGCAGCTGCTTCCGTCAGTTGTTTACTATTTCCATGCTGACCTATGGCTCGTTTTACGGAGTCAATGAACTGCTTCTTCTTAGAGTGACGTGGCGAACAAGGTGCCCCAGAATCTGCATTCACTATCTCCTCCAGAACTTTCTACAGCCACCATCAAGCCGGCCAGAAACACGTCAGTAGTTGGATAGTGTGAGAACACGACAAAGGTTCGGCTCCAAATCTGGTACACAAACTTTGAAAAGTACTGTACTACCTCCCTACAAGACACATGCCATTAATTTACCTGTATGTATCAATTTAATTTTTTAAAAAAATCTTTGGTTACGGACGTCCGAACGTTTAAGTGAAAGGTGGCAATCTGACATGTTTGTATTACTCTCAAAAGAATAAAATACTTAGTTTATTAAAAATTAACTATTTCAGATAACATAGAGCTGTGTGCTGCCCTTTACTTTTAACAGAAATTAAAGAGGTAGAGAGAAGGAAACTTCATCACATATAATAGCAGGGAATCTGGGAATTCAAATCTTATAATATAAACTGTCCAGGATAGCCATTAGCCAGAACAATTTTTGTTGTTTTCACCACTCAGAAAAGCTACTAAGACTCTAAAGCTCCATTACTAGATGGTGAGATGACCATGGAATTTCTCAGTGTCTGTGTGTTAACCAACCCAATACAATTTTCTGCAATTATTTAATAAAAATGCAATTCCTATAAAAAATACAATCCCAGAGTAGATAGAACTTTAAAGAATAAAAGCATATAATATGGTCTCATGTCAAACAGCTCCCATATACGAGGGTGAGACAAATGAAAACCGTAAATTTTTTTTTAAATTTAATTTATTGAGTGAAAGCGGTACACAACTATATCATTTTTCTACATAGTCTACATTTC